CTTCAAATTCATCCACATTAAATTTAGGAAAGCCCCATTTCTTGGAGCTGAGAATATCCTGGTGGGCACTAGCCTGTATAGTGCCTCAAACACACGCTCCTTGTTCTACAACTTGCGGGGAATGGGCACGATGACTTGACCTTTGTGTACTATGCCCTGGGACTTTCCAAAGGTACCCAGTATACCTGTTTGGAGTGTAACATTGGACATATCATGAGATTAGACATGGTTGTCATCACAAAGGGCTGTCTCCAAGGTCCCTAAGGGCAACTCACAAAAACAAGTGGCTTACACTCCCAAGGAGGCTGCTGTTTGCAGCCATTATAAACTGGACCATGTCTTTTTGATCACAGCTGTCCTAACAGATGTGAGATTATATCTCATTGTGGCTTTAATTTGCATTTCCCTGATGATTAGTGAAGTTGAGCACTTTGTACCTGTTGGTCATCTGTATGTCTTTAGAAAAATGTCTTTTCAAATCTCTGCATATTTTTAATTGGATTTCCCCATTAAGTTTGATGGACTTTTTATGTATTTTGGGTTTTAACCTTTTATTAGAGATATGATCTACAAATAGTCACATTCAGTAGGTTGTATTTTCATTTTTTGATTATTTATTTTGCTCTGTAGATTTTACTTTGACATGTCACATTAGTTTTGCTTTTGCTGCCTTTGTTTTGGAAGTCAGGTCCAAAAGTTTACCAAGATTTATATCAAGTAACTTACACTCACATTTTCTCTCTCTTTTTAAAAGATTTATTTTATTTATACATACGGATCTGGGGTACAGGCCAGAGGTGCAGGGATAAGAGGATTCACCAGAGACAAAGTGGGGAGCAAGAACAGGCAGATTGACAAAGTACACTGCTGAGGGGAGCAGCAGGCAGGTCAGGAGAGGTCTGCCGCGCCCTGTGGTCACCTCAGGGATGGGGGATTGAACTTGCACCAAAGCGGCTGCAGCTAGTTTACAGTGCTGCGTCCTAACCCATTGTGCCACCAGGGAGGGCCCACCTATATTTTCTTTAAAGAGTTTATGGTTTTATGTCTTACATTAAAGTCTTTAATCCATTTTGATCTAATTTTTTGTGTGGTATAAAATAATCTAGCTTCTTTGTTTTGCATGTGGTTTTTGAATTTTCCCAACACCTAGTATTGAGGAGAACATACTTCCTTCACATTGCATAGCCTTACTTCCTTTTCTGTGATTTAATTAATTTTTTAAAATGTGGAATGATTGCTGAATTTCCATGTCACCTTTGTGTGCAGATGCTAATGTTCTTTGTATCATTCCAGTTTTAGTGAAAGTGCTGCCAAAGTGAGCACAACAGATACTTTCTTGAGTGACTTAATGTTTGAAAGTTTTAATTTTTTGATCTATAGCTTGGATTCCTACCAACTTCTTATCTGGATCAACTGCATATTTGGGCTGACATTGGACATTATTATACTTTCCTATTCTGAACATTTTGTTAGAGTCATGCAATATGTGGTATTTAATAATGCCTTTTTTTACCCAACATGATTTCAAAATTCATTTCTATTTATAAATTGATGGATATTTTGTCTGTTATAAATAATGCTCTGCATATTCATGTACAAGTTTTTGTGTGGACATATGTTTTCCTGTCTCTTCTGCCAGTGAAATGAATTGCTGAGTCCTGTGGGAACTCTTATGTGTCATAATTTGAGGAGCTGTCAGGCAGTTTTCCAGAGTAGCTGCATCATATTACACTCTCACTTTTAGTGTATAAGGGTTCTGTTTTCTTCACATCTTTAACTAACAATACTTCTTGTTATTTGACTTTTTGATTACATCCATCCTCGTGGGTATGATACAGTATCTATTTGTGGTTTTAACTTGTTTCCCTGATGAGTAATGATACCAGTATCTTCATGAGATTGTTGGTAATTTGTAGATCTTCTTGGGAGAATATATCTTTGAAACACAGTTTTTTTAAATTTGGATGAAATCCAATGTATTGATTTTGCTGTTATACTTTGGGTGTCCTGGGAATCCATTGCTAAAGATCATGAAGATTTACCTCTCCTTATTTTCTTCTATGTGTTTTATGGCTTTGGCTCTTACATTTAGTTAGGACTTTCATCCATTTTTGAGTTTTTATAGATGGTATGAGGTAAGGGTTCAGTGACCTTCATACTTTTGCTGTGGCAGGAACATTTGTTAATAAAAGGTAGTTTGTTATCATTGAATGGTCTTGGTACCTTTGTCAACCTACTCATGTTTTTGGAAGATTTATTTATGTACACAAGAACTGGGGTACAGGCCAGAGCTGCCAGGGTAGGGGTGAGAGGATTCACCAGAGACAAAGTGAGGAGCAGTACAGGCAGACTGTTGAGGCACACTGCTGAGGGGAGCAGCGGCGGGTCAGGAGAGATCTGCCACACCATGTGGGTCAGCTCCCTGGCTGGGGATCAAACTCATGCTGCAGTGGCTGCAATAGCTTCATAGTGCTGTGCTTTAACCCATTGTGCCACCAGAGAGAGCCCTCAACCTACTTATTTTTTAGTTCCTTCCTTGAGGCCAGAGCTGTGAACTTCTAAGTCTCAGACCTGTGTTTAGTATTTTGTTTTATAATTATTATTAATTAAGATTTTATTTTTATTTTATTTACGCATACAATAACTGCGGTGTAGGCCAGAGGTACGGGGTCGGGGTGAGAGGATTCATCAAAGACAGTGGGGAGCAGAACAAGTTAATCTCCTGAAATACACCCCTAAAGGGAACAGTGGGCAAGACAGGAGAGGTCTGCTGTGCCATGTGAGTGGGTCAGCAACCTGGCTGGTGATCGAACTCAGTCCACAGTGGCTGGGAATAGCTTGTTAGGGCTGAGACCTAACCCCTAGGCCACCAGGGAGGCCTGTGGTATTTTACTTAGTGTTGTACTACTGCTTTCTGGGAGTGATTTTATCTGTACTTCATCTTTATCCCCTGCTTTCTTCTACCTTTTTCCTGGCACATTGAAAAGCTTTCCCCACCCTTGCTTTCTCTAATATGATTTTGCAGCAGTAGGAGCTTTGTTGAAATTTGTTAATTTCCTTCTTAAATGTAATTTGAAATATGGATATTCTTTGTCCTGGCATTGCAAAGACATGTGGTTCAAAGGCGTGTTGGTTTTGTTTATGTCCCTTCTTATTTTATATTTTGAGGGACTGCATGGAGAAATTCAGATTCTGGTGCCTGCCACTACCTTACAGAACCTGTAAGCACCAGAGTTGATACATTTAATTTGTATAAATATTTTAAACTTTTCATGATACCTTTACAGAAGTCTCATTTAAAAAATAGCTAATTGGCCCTCCCTGGTGGCGCAGCGGGTTAAAGCACAGCACTGAGAATCTAAAGCTGCTTCCGCATGAGTTCGACTCCCGTCTGCCCCGGAGGTGACCACATGGCGTGGCAGATCTCTCCTGACCCGCCCGCTGCTCCCCTCAGCAGTGTACTTCGTTGATCTGCCTGTTCTGCTCCCCACTCTGTCTCTGGTGAAGCCTCTCATCGCCCCTGAGCCTCTGGCCTGTACCCCAGTTCTGTATGCACGAATAAATAAATCTTTAAAAAAAAATAGCTAATTATCATATAGCCAAATTAGTAGCAGTGCATATTTTAGTTTAAAATTTTTATTTCTAGATTTGTCAAATTCATATACTAATCATAGAGACTTTTGGTCTGTGAGGACATAAACTATCTTGTTCATTTTTAAAATCCTATGCATGGGGCACTATTTTTGTTATGCATCTAACAGGCATTAGATGCACTAACTTAAGAGAATCTTTTTTAATAATAACTTTATGCACAGTAGCATTATGGTTATTACAATTTAAGATTATATATTTATTTATTTAAATATTTATTTATTTGTTTGTTTATGCATACAAGAACTGGGGTGTAGGCCAGAGGTGCAGGAGGTGAGAGGATTCACTAGTGACAGAGTGGAGAGCAGAATATGTAGACCTATTGAAATACACTGCTGAGGGGAGCAGTGGGCAGGACAGGAGAGGTCTGCTGCTCCATGTAGGTTACCTCTCTGGCCAACTGGTGATGAGACTTCTGCTTTAGTGGCTGGTGATAGCTTCATAGTGCTGTCTAACCCCTGAACCACCAGGGAGACCACTAATGTTTTATAGTTAATGTCAAGGAATTGATAGTTGAAGGAGCCAAATAATATTATTGACTGCATTCCTTCTTAAAAAAAATAATTTATCTTGGGTTTTCTAATGGTATTTCTGCTTGATTCTATGCTACCTCTGTAACTGCTTATTACTGTCTTTGAAGGGTTCACTATGTTTGCATGTTTACCAAGACTGAACATGCAAACCTGACTCAAAGCAAGCAACAAAAACAGAAATCAGTGGGACACATCAAACTAAAATCTGCACAGCAAAAGAACTATCAATAAAGTGAAAATTACAGCCTGCTGAATGAAAGGAAATATTTGTAAATCATATTTCTAACAAGAGGTTAAAACTCAAAATAAAGAACTCTCAGATGTTTTCCTCCTGTTCTTCTCTGGCTACTTTAGTTTACTTCCTTTGCTCCAGGTGCCATCCCTATAACTAGAAATCTGTATCTGTCACTTACGTCTTGTTTCTGAGTCCCAGATCTGTATGTCCAACTGACAGGAATAGCTCCATTTGTATTGTCCAGAGCCCCGAAGTGAATAATTTGTCTTTTTTCTCCTTGACTCTTGTCCTTTTCCAGGATTTCTCAAATCAGTTTGTGATATTGGCATCTCAACAATCATCCCCCTCTCCCACCTCCAAATCCAGGCAGGTATTATTGCCCAGTAAATATTACTCAAATTCTTTTTTATCTTTGTTTTCTTGCTGCATTATTAAAGATAAGGTTGTGATTACCTGGGTCATTGCAGTTACTTCTAGTCTGTTCTCTTTCAACCCTGTCTTTACATACAGCCAGAATAATTATTCCAAACATGTTTAGTCATCTCATTTCCAGCTTAATATATTTGCTTTGTTCGTTTCAGAAAATGGGATCATCAAGACAGATAAAGTATTTGAAGTAATGCTGGCCACAGACCGCTCCCACTATGCAAAGTGCAACCCTTACATGGATTCTCCACAATCAATAGGTAAGCTTTAGGTTTCTGAAAACGTCACATTTTCATTTATTTACTCTGTAATTTTTTTTTTTTTACTCTGTAATTTTTGTAAGCAAAACTAGGCTAGGAAATAAATATCATCTTGCTATCTGAATTTTATGCTCTTCCAAATCGCATGGTAGAAAACAAATCCATTTTAATAAAATGCTATATATGAAGTACCATCTCTGTGTTCTCAAGCAGTAGCAATATATATATATATAATATAAAGAATTTTAAAATTTTTCATAAAGTGTGCTTTTAGTGAAAACTTAAAATTTAAACTGAATGCTGACTTTTCTTAAGGGCCCTTAATGTTGACTAGGTTGTTTTCATATCAGAACTAATTTTTAAAATCAGTAGTAAAAGGAATAAATATAATTATTACCGACTCCTCTGCTTCACTTGCCCTGAATTCTTTGGCTTATGCTGGTTTTTAGAAAGTTCCATATTTAACTCCTTCTCCTGAAGCAGGTTTTGCTGAACTGCTGAGCCTTGGCAGTGGGCGCCTTTGAGGCTTAGAAGCGCCTCAGGATTCTGTGGGCCAGCTGCCATGCTTTCTCCTTTTGAAGCACTTAACAGCCAGCAGAGAAGATCCTGAGGAGCTTCTGAACCCCGAAGGCACCTGCTACCACCGCTCAGTGAAAATTGCTTCAGATGCAGAAGCAGGTAAGTTTTGAGCAACACTGAAAGAAAGTAAAAGCTTTAAACTCAGAAAAGTGTCTAAATTATCATTAGATATAGTATGAAGAGCAAAATGAAGTAGTATATTAGTCTTTTTAGCCACTTTGTTTGCCAGCTGCTCTAGTTGCCCAATGAAAAGCAGCTTAATTTCACAGTATTAAATATGTATTATCGATTGAGACATTTTCTTTTTATAAATCTGAAAAGAAGACAAGTCATAAATTTTATCAATTCAACTTATTGAAATTCTTCCTTTCTCAGCTAACCCTACAGAAGACTTTTTTAAAGTAATTGGGACTGTTGTACCAGATGAACATTTAGCCTTTGGCAGGGCTCTGTTTTCTTGTTTTTAATTGCTGCATGATAACATGCTAAAGGACAAAGTATATGTTGTATTTGTGAGATTGTAAAAAAAAAAATTACAAAAAATTATTTGTGAATGCTAGAAAAGGGAATTTCATAGAATATTGACTATGTTTTTGAAACTGAATGTATCAGTTGTTCTCTTCTTTTTTGTAGGTTTCCAAGCAACAATCAGTGCTCCACACATGGTAAGTCGACTTTGGTCATTTGGGTACAATGCACTTCATTTTTTCCTCATAGGATGTCCTCAAGTAAAGAAGATTTATTGAACTTAAGATTTAAAGAATTCATAGATTTGCCATCTATGAATTATAAATTATATAAAACGATTATTACCACTTTCTTGGTATTGTGAAATTAGGATACAAGCTTGTACCCACATATTTTCAATTATCTTGATATATACTTAGGAATGGAGGTGCTGGGTCAGAGGGTAATTTTACATTTAGCATTTTGAGGAATCTGTCAAAACTCTTTTCCAAGTTGGATGTGGCATTTTATCACCCTCCCAGCAATGCATAAAGGTTCCAGTCTCCCCATTTCCTTATCTCCACTTGGTTTTGTTGTTGTATATATTATTTATCCATCCTACTAACTGCGTAGTATCTCACTGTGATTTTGATAATGTATTTCCCTAGTGATTAGTGATATTGAGCATCTTTTCATGTGTTAATTGGTCATTTGTATAATTCCTTTGGAGAACTGTCTATTCAGATCCCATTCATTTCCCATTTCTAAGTTACTTCTCTTTTCATTGTTGAAAAGCATGATTTTTTTGCTGCATTATGAAGCTGTGGGCAGCCAGTGCAACAGGAGCTGGATCGCCTGGCAGGGAGCTGACCCACATCGTGTGGCAGACCTCTCCTGACCCACCTGCTTGCTGCTTCCCTCAGAAGTGTACTTCCTTGATTTGCCTGTTCTGCTCTGGTGACTCCCATCATCTCCCACACCTCTAGCCTATACCAATTTTTGTATGCATAAATAAATAAATCTTAAAAAGAATTATTGTGTTAGAATGCATACAATTTATTATCCTGGTTTTTTTTAAAAGATTTATTTATTTATGCATATAAGAGCTGGGGTGCAGGCCAGATATATTGGGGGAGGGTGATAGGAGTCACCAGAGACAGAGTGGAGAGCAGAACAGGCAGATGTACTGAAATACACTGCTGAGGGGAGTAGCAGGTGTCTCATCTCTCCTGAGACCCTTGCTCATGTACCCTGGCCAGGGATAGAATTTTGCTACAGTGGCTGCAGATAGCTTCATAGTGCTGAGTT